ATTTCAGGACAATCATCCTAGAGATGTTACATTACAAACATCGCAGCGATGTACCATTTATGTCGGAAACATAAGGACCTTAATGGTACATAAATAGGATGTTTCTGGGAGATCGGTGTTATTAGGGAGGATACAGGGTGATAACAACAAATTTTTAAAATTTAATGGATCAAACCGTAAAAATTTTATATTTTGAGACAAGCTTACTACAAATTTTGGTTAAGGATGTTCTAAAACCATGTTGTATCAAGTTTTGTTGTTCTCAAGGCCTCAAAAAATGAAATTTTTCCAGTTTGGTTCATTAAATTTTGAAAATTTGTTTTGATCACCCTGTATCCTATTGGAACAAAAATTTGTACATTAGGGTTTTAGACCATTCTAAACAAGAATCTGCTATCAGATTTTTTCTAAAAGTGCAGCCGTAAAAATAAAATTATGAGCCTAATAAGTGACAAATTGGAGTAGCTACAAGACAAAAAAAAAATGAATTCAATCGGTTGAAAAATAAAAATTTTAGAAGGGTGGTCAGTCCTTAAGCGGGACACACTGTAGATGTTTTAATCAAAAGAAACAATGTGATAGGAGACCTTTCTCATTATCCTTAGATATAAATTCGTCGTGTCCGGTGTCCCATCAAAACAATCGGACTTTGGTTTTCCTAATACATAACACCGATCTGCCAGAAACATCCCATATCCCATTTATGTACCATCAAGGTCCTTATGTTTCCGACATAAATGGTACATCGCTACGATGTTTCTAATGCAAGATCTCTAGGATGATTGTCCTGAAATGTTTTAGAAACATCCTTTCAAAAATACCTATCTATCGACAAAAGATTTTTTGGTTCTCAAAATTAGATACCTACACTTAAAAATTACTAAATTTATTATTAGATTGATTCTTGGGTATAGGAAAGTTTGGTTAGGAATTAAAACAATTTTTCTTCTGGCAACGTTTCGTAACCTTTAATTATTGTTACTTTTTCAAGCCTCAGAAACTAGTTTTACAACCGTGGATGTTCATTGAGTATACTAATTTGGAATCGGCATTCTTTAATCAACCTTTGACACCTATAAGCAAATTTTGTGGATAGTGCATTGGCTCTGTACCTATGTGTTCTCATCAGGAAACCATATAATTTTATGAACTTACAAATTCAATTTTCTTTTTTCTTTTTTCGATTTTTTCTAATTAATAATCTAGTAAACAAAGAAAAAATCAATTAAAGGTTACGAAACGTTGCCAGGAGAAAAATTGTTTTAATTCCTAACCAAACTTTCCTATACCCAAGAATCAATATAATTATGTATCAAGGAGATGAAACCTCATCACGTAAATTTATTATATTTTCTACTTAACTATTATAGATCCATAATACCTAGGAAACGGAATACGTTACCATACCTATAACAACCTGAGGGCATTATAAGCCCAGCGGGCGGTATGATCTATAACGCCCGCTTATAATGCCCTGAAGTGTTTTTGTTGTTGTTGTTTAATTAATTTGCACTTTACCCTAGGCAGCCACTAAATTGATAAAAGAACTTTGTGTTGAGTAGAAAATAAAGCATTGTATGCACCACGGGGATTTTTAGATTATAATGCCCTTCAGGCGGAATATATCCCTCGGGCCAGAGGCCCTCGGGCTAGTTTCGCCTTTGGGCATTATAATCTACATAGTCCCCTTGCTACATAAATAGCTATTACAAAACTAGGTTGGACCACCTTATAGGACCCAGGTATTAAATTTGCCAATTTTGTATAGTTTCTACAAACGTCTCTATCACACACACACACACTAATTTGAAATTCTAATATCTCGAATTCGGGAACAAATAGAAAAAAACAGAGAAAGTCACTGGATTATCTCGCCACAAAACGGATCAAGATATCATAAAATTTGAGCCTCAGAATGGGGGTTGATTTTTTTGAATCTCGCTAAGAAATTGACGTTTTCTATTAAAATTGTCCCGAGAAGTGTCCAAACAACCCTGCACATATCAAAAAACAAATAAAAATACCTACTCCAAATAAAAATATAACAAATTTATCTGATAAAGACAAAACGATAAATTAAATAATAGTGTAGCTTGGAAAATTTTCACATATTTTATTGGAAAATTTTTCTATGAACTTTTATGGAAAATTATTTCACAAAATTTTTCTCTCTATGATTTAAAAAAAAAATTAGTAGTTTTTAAGGCTCTCAGGGGGGGGCGCCCCCCCCCCCCTGTATCCGCCACTGAGTACCTAACTACCAGAAATATAAGGCAATATGATTATCTGACACTGGTGAAGCCAGCGGTAAGGATAGACGACCCCGGGGCTTAACGCCCCGATTAAAAAGAATTGTTGTTTATATATAATACATTTCAAAATCGTGATCCAGGGCGCCCTGAGCCGGGGTGCCCAAGCCCCGAAAAGAAAGCAGCTCTATCAAGCAAAAGCCCGCGGAATCATAACCTATGGTGCAAGCACCCTACGTCAAGGCGAGAAACGACACGCTGCACGTCATCACTTGTGCTTTGCCATTGTGATGAGGAACAAAGGTTCCTCAGGTTCAAACCTCAAGCCCTCCACCAAAGGGTGGAGGGCTTGAGGTTTGAACTACACAGGCGTTATGAGGATAGGCTATCCCGGCCATATTCAAATAATGATGATCTTGTGAACGTGAACGTCGTGAACCCATCCGAAAATTTTAGCCAGACTCAAAAATTCTTGCTTTGTATCGGAGAACAAACTATTTAATAGACATCAACTGGGAAAATAAGTGCCCTGAAATTCGAAATGGTGGGGGTTGAGACGAGAGCGTTCCCAGTGCTGCTTATGTCGAACAGTTCAAGAGCGTCACACTTCAGGAGCATGATACTCTAACAATTTAGGCACTGGAAAGCGGCTTAGATGTTATATGCTTAGAAAAAGATGCGGATAGTGGATACACTCAGTGCGCACTGACTGACAAATGGAAATCGCTATTATTAATCATGCCAAATATCGAGCAATAAAACTCAGCCGTTAATTTTTTATAAATATTTGAAGTTACGCTTGGAACATCGCCATTTAAAACGACCGATTAGTGTGACGTCACTCCGCATCAAAATTCCTTTGACAGTGACGAGAACTTCGAGCAAGTAGATTTAGATTATGGTTATGTTGTTATGTATGCAGTTTACGATAGATCTGACTATGGCATTGAGGGACTATGGCGACACCATGACGTAGCGACGGCGCGACCGAGTATTACTGCCTTGTGTCGTCACGACCCATAGAAACTCTACAATTAGGCAATCTACTGACCTGTCAAAAACGAAATTCAATATGGAAGTTCGGGTCAAGCACTGTGTTGTTTATTCTGTATGTCATTGATTCTGTACCGTCACATTCTGGACAAACGTCCAGATTTGAAATATCGGATTTTGTGTTTTTTTGTGTGTTTAGGTATTGTGTTTATTAAAATGCCAGCGATTTGCATCGTAATTGGGTGTGGAAGTCGAGGTAACAGGGATAATGTGAAATTTTATTAAGTTACTGCTATTTTAAATCATTGGCTTTTGATCTACAAATATGAATTATCAAAACAACGCAGAGCTTTATGGATTGATGCAACTAAAAGCTCGATTTTCCCTTAATAATAATATCTTAAGATATTCACTCTCCATCTCAGAATTTATTAATAAATTAAAAAATACGTAGAAACACTATAAACACTATAAAATTCACTTTGAAAACAACCATGGCCAGAACACTAAAAAATACGTAGAAATACTAAAGACTATAAAATTCACAATGACCAAAACCAATGAAAAATACGTAGAAACACATAAAATTCACTTCGAAAGCATCAAGGGCCAGAACACAAATGCTCTCCTTATGAATGTCGAACGTCACCGGCTTGTCACCGCAATATTTGACCCGAACGGCCATTATAAAATCACGTGATTGAGATTGCCTAATTATTTTGCGCGTTCCAGTGCAGTGTCGTCCACTTGATCTACTCATTTCTGTTATCCCCTACCCCCTCATGCACCAACCTTAATTTCGGTGTTTCATGCTCCTGAAGTCCGAAATGGTGGGGATTAAAGGAGCGCGCCAACTGGGCCCGCACAGCCCGGCACAGCACGGTCAGCGCGGCCGGCATTGCCGCAGCCACCGCCCATTGCTTCGGCATGATCAAACCCAAATCGCATTTAAAACAACTTTGACTATCGAAGTGGTAGGTTCGTGAATAAAAAAGACACTTCTCCCCAAGCATTTTTTTACAAGTGGTATCGTGGTAATATTTTTCCTTGGGTTCATACAACAATGATATGCCCAAACGGTTTCAATCAAAATTTCATCGGACATGATGCAACAATTAAAATGAAATAAAACAATCCAATGCTTCTATGGTCGCAGACACGCGGACCGGACCGGCCGGCAGCTTTTGCCCTATCGAGAATACGAGTCGTTGCCGGGCTGAGCGTGCGGCGCCGAGCTGAGCGGTTCCGTTTCAGTGGGCGCTACTCTATTCGTTTACGAACATATTAAAATCTGCTGTGCGGGCTCAGTGGGCGCGCTCCTTTAGACGAGAGGAGCATGATACTCTAAATTTAGGCACTGGAAAGCAGCTCTAATTGCATAATTCATTAGGATGTTTGTTGTGTTCCATTGGCCAAACTCGTGCGGAAATGGGGCAAAAAGTGCCGCAACAGTTTCTCAATAGAATTCAAAAACTTGCACGAAATAGTTGTATTCCTTTCAAGAGTTTGAAACACTTGAGCTACTCGCTCCTGTGCTTAGACGCCCCCGATTTGTAGGGAACAGATGCGTGGTGCAACAAATACTTTCTGAAAGGAAAAAGCGCGTGAAGCCCCGGAGCTGTTCCGGAGCTCCTCCTAGGTGTGAAAAGAATACAACTATTGGCAAATGGTTGACGAATATTGCAGACGTGCGCGTGCCGCACGAGTTTGGCCAATGGAATTCGCTATCATTGGCAATTGCTTTCAAGTGAAAACAAAAAGCCGCTTTCCAGCTATGTGCTTCAAGCACGGTGCAGCACAGTGTTCTGTGTTTGAAACGCAAAAGTTAGCAGCTCTCGAAGCGCAGTACGGCTGGAACACGAACACGCGCTTGAAGCATTTGCGCGCGCAAAAGCTCGTTTGCGTGCTCAAAAGCGTCAGCTGGAAAGCGGCTTTTAAAAACAAAAATCAAAACAAACAAGACGATTTTGAGCTGGATTTATAAACTCTGACGTCCGCGCCCGCGCCCGCGCTCGCGCTCACGCCCAACATAAATGAAGCAGATCACGAAGTTTGATTTATAAACACAAACGCCCGCGCCCGCGTTCGAGTTCGCGCCCGAGTCCGCGCTGGAGATGGCCAAGTTTTATCTTCGACGCTCGCGTTCGAGCGCCTGGCCAATGAAAACAGGTCATTTGACATGCATGCGCAACAACCAAATTTTTAAAATTTTGAACCTTTCTATTGTTGTTAATTTTGTGAGTATTTTTTTCAAATTTATTTCAAATAAAAATAAATCAAATAAACCATTGACTCTGAGCACAAAATAAACAGAAAAAGAATGAATACGAAAAATATTTTGAGGTTATGTCAAATGTTATCAAAATACGCGGGCCAATTACACTGCAGCAACAAACGACAGTCAAAAAGTTTATAAATCGTTTCCAACGCGAACTCGAACTCGGGCGTGAGCGCGAGCGTGGGCGCGGGCGTCAAAGTTTATAAATCCAGCTTTGACGTTGACGAACGTAACCGGAGCCGGTAACCTTTCTTCACATTCTATCGTTCTTTCTTTTACAATTATTTATATGACAAAACTTTTTTTTTCTAATGTAAATTAAAGCAGAATTTCAATAATGTCTGAACATATTATTCCAACTGAAATTGACAATGCTGATTCGAGCTCCCAAAGCGGAACTGGTTCGGGCAGTTCAGCAGCAAACAATGATGAGGAACAAAGCAAGTTATCAAATTCCTTAAAAAATCTTTCCGTACAGCCACATCCGAGAGACTATTCTGCAGCCCTCAGATCCAGACCATTAACTGCATCTGTGGAACCCTCATTGGCAGTACCGAAACCATCTGATCCAGTAGAATCTGATACATCTACACCTGGACCATCCAATAAAACAACAAAAGCCAGGGTTAAACCTGCTGCAGTATCACTAAAAGACGAGGATGAAAGTGAATTCCTGAAAAACTTTGACCGGCTTGAAAGAAGGGATATCAACGCAATTATGCAAGAATACAGTCTACCAAACAGTGACACCCTTGAAAAAATCATTTTAGTAATTGATAGCGCTCAAGATGAAAACTATACACCTTTTATTGCAAGCAATCAGAAATACACACCTTTAAGTATGATTAAAAGAGCAGTATCTATTATGATCAAATTGAAATTGGGTATAAATCCACATCACGAGTTTGCTATAATAGTAATGAAGAAAAATGATGCTGATCTACTTTTTGAATTTTCGAATGATTATAAAAGACTCATCGATTGCTTGAATCGAATTTCTGAATGTGAAACTGAAGATATTTTTGACTTGAACACTGTATTTCACAAATTGGAAGACATACCTCTTCCAAAACCTCTAGCACCAGGATTACCACCACCATACAATATACGTATCATATTTTTTTATGGTAGATCTTTCACTATGCCCCAAATCACAATGAATGAAAAGGTAGAGGCACTTTTCAAGAATCCTTACTTTTTTTGCGATGTATTGATGACCCACGAAGTGATAGAAGCAAGCAATAATTGTCAGAAAATATTCAACGTATTTCAAAATTTGGACAAGAAAGGTACTGGATATTTCTTTCCTGTGGGTAGGGATGCCAGAAGAATGCACAAGTGTACTGGAAGACTTGTGGCCCATCCTTTGCAGAGGCCTATCCAAAAGCTTATCAAGAATTAATTATTATTTTTCATTAAATTAGGTTTATCTATTGTTCTTGTTTGATTTGATTATTTTGAATGTTTTTTTTTTTTTTTAATCTTCATAGAATTATTATTGATTTATAAGTTCTATTTAGTTTTTATACTTTACTGTGCAAATTTTGTATTACATTATTATGCCATCAAGGAAGCAGGGATGGCTTATTAAATAAAACTTGTTACCTACTTAAATGCTATAAAAATTTAATTACCAATCCAAAATCTTACAGCTCCATGCTCTATTACCTATTTAAATAATGTGTGCATTAGGATAGGATATGAGGAAACGAACTTGGAGAAAATATTAGTAGAATGGTTGCATTCTATTTTATTATATGAATAGTAATTAACTATAATTTTTAGTTATTATAGTCCAGGCAATCAGTATTTTTTGCAAGATAAAAATAGTATAGTTTTCAAATTTTGACTGTTCAGATGGAAATAGTGAGTCGGCATCTCATTTTGCAGCAGTTTAGGGAGTGGGCTCACTGAATGGGGGCGGTTTTTTGAAAAAAAGGCAGTTATGGTAGAATACTGCTAATACAGCTTAATAAAATTGAAAAAAAAAGTTGATAAAATCCTGTACGGTATGGTGATTAAAAAACCCCTTGACAGCCCTATTCTATCTTTTATAGTTATTGCACTATAGACTCTAGGGCCTAGAGCATGTCAAAGTAAGGGATGTGACCTTGAAATTGGCCTCATCGCCTCATTTTATGTTTCGTGTGTCAGAAAAAGAAAGGATTATGCAATTTCAATTATTCAGAAACTATCTGAATCTTGAAAAAATCTGCCGTAAGTAATTTTTCTAAGCGGTCCGATAACTTTAAAATTAAAGATTTTACAAATTATTGAAGTTCAACTTATCTGTAAAAAGTTTATAAAGGTATTTTTTACAAAAAACTAAGGCTGAGATCAATTTTTTTTTCTCTATTTGATAGCTCATAGTTTCCTGCATTTAAATACATTGTTGCTTTTGTTATTTATGCATGGTAATTTTTGTAGAAGCCGTTTTAGCGCGCGGTCGACCCCATTTTGAACATGCCGATGCCGAAAACGGTTCCCGCTCCCTTTCGACATGTGCAAAATTACCTTGCATAAATTAACAAAAACAAAAATACATTTAAATTCAGGAAACGATGAGCTATCAAATGGAGAAAAGAAATTGATATGAGCTTATTGGTTATTGTGAAAAAAAATCTTTTCTAAGCTTAGCAAGTTTTGCTGAATTTTACAAAAAAGTGGAACTTGTAAAATCGTTAATTTTAAAGTTATCGGACCGCTTTAAAAACGCACGTATCACAAATTTATTCAAGATTTAGATAGTATTTGAATAATTGAAATTGGAAAAATCCGTGCTTACTCTGACGCACGAAACGTAAAATGGGGCGGCGAGACCAATTTCAAGGTCACACCCCTTACTTTGACGCGCTCCAGAGTCTAGGGCGTTAACTATAAAAGATAGAACAGGACTGTCGCAGGGTTTTTTAATCACCATACCCTAAAGATTTTTTTTTTCAATTTCGTTAAGCTGTATTTAAAAAAAATAGCAGCGTTCTACCATAACTGCCATTTTATCAAAAAACCTCCCCATTCAGCGAGCCCACCCCCTAAACTGCTGCAAAATGAGATTCCGATTCACTAATGTCCATCCGAACAATAAACTGTCAAAATTTGAAAACTATACTACCTATATCAGTCACCCATAGGCAGGCACTAAAAAATACCTGTTCAGTTGGTGCAGATAAAGTTAACGTAAGATTGATTAAAAGATATATCTATCTCATTGAACCTTTAAAACACCTTATTAATTCTATTTTCAGTACTGGGATGGTTCCATCACATTTCAAGATTGCCATAATAACTCTGATCTTCAAGGCTAATGATCCATCTAAGGTTGATAACTTAACTATAGGCCAATAAGCGTTATAAGTATTTTTCAAATTTTTTTGAATAATGTTTAAAATCTATTGTCTGTCGATTTTAATCTGATACTCGAAAGGAATGTGAGCTGGTGGCTCCTACATTAGAATGCCAATGGTTAGCTGACCGTCACACCTGTTTTTGCCATATGAAACACCCCCTCGCTCCTCATACGGACAGTGTCAGATAAAAAACGACGGACTTTAGACATCAAAGTTTTCTCACTATCAACAACATTCACTCCGATAACCAGTTTGGTTTTGTCACTTTGGTAATAACAGTTGTACAATAACTACAACACAACAGATGCTGTTGTTGAACCCGCAAATAGAGTAAATAATCATTTGGATAATAATGAATGCTGTTTGACCGTCTTTTTAGACTTTGCCAAAGCGTTCGACACGGTACCACATGAAGTACTTTTGGATGTTCTTAATGTACATGGGGTGTGTGGCATTGTGTTGGAGGTTTTCTCGAGTTACCTGGGACATAGAAAACAAATTGTAAAAATTGGTGACTCTTTGAGCGATCCTTTGACTGTAAAAATTGAAGTTCCACAAGGAACTGTTTTGGGCCCTTTATTGTTCATTGTCCGACAAATGTGATATCGTTAATATAACATAAAAGACGGTCGATTGGAATTAAAACTACACGTATATATGTATCACCGTTCTCACGGACGTCAGAATGACAACTTCACGAAGAGCTAGCGCAACAATGTCCCATCACCCAGGTTGAAGATATGAACAAAATTGTCCGACTTGGTGTTAGTTATTTATTTATTAGGTACACCTCACAAACACCGAAGTAATAATTACATGTAAGAGGCAAATATTAAAACTAAGACAACAATCAATACATCCACACAAATATATAAATAAAAACTAAGTCCCATAAAAATAGACTTTTTTAATTTGATTTATGGATGTGTGTGGTTGAACATATCAATGCTTTGCCCTGCTAAAATACGATTGCAATCCGATAACATCCTGTTCAAAGGAGAGCAAGTTCTAGGACTGGTTGTAAATAATTTATATTCCCTAGGCCTTAAGTTAATCTTAGGAACATGAAACTTAAGGAACTCATGGAACTCAACTCAGGAAGTTTGGCGTGTACATGAGTTACAAAATTTTAGGGTCGATGTACTGGGGACTATCATAGTTCATCAATTCTTTAACGGATATCAAAATTGCAAACAGGACGGTTATTTCTAGAATCATTCAAATTATCTCTATAACTTCGGCAAATCGGCCAGACTATAGTTCACTAAAATTGAATAATTCTGGCACAGAATTGAGGGAGGTTAAAGACACAAATTACCTTGGAATTATTATTGATAAGTCATCTTAGATGGGATATGCATGTTTTACGACTAACTAACAATATACGTAAATTAATCTATAAGTTTTATGTGCTAAGAGAAATTTTGACTAAGAATGTACTTCTCATAATTTGTAAGGCGTTGGTGGAGTCACTGATAAGCTGATGGCATATTGGTTTGGGAAGGACTACATAAAAATACTCTTAGACAACGAAACATTGTACAAAACTACATCTTAGAAGTAATTAATAAAAAACCTAAACAATTCCCTACTTTGCAGCTGTATTCGGTGAAGATTTTGGATGTGAGATGTTTGTTTATTTTTTTCTGTATGTTCCTATGTGCATTTCAATTCCTGTAAAATGATCTTTGTAATACACAATTACAGTACACAAAATAGAAGAAATGGCCATTTGTTGATACCTATTTTTAACACTACCTACCTATAAGTAAAAATTTCTAGCATTTTTGTCTGCTAAATTTTATAACAATAATACCAAACTCAATAAAAATAATTAAAAATAAAGAGATTTAAATCTGAATGTTACGAGTACATTTTCAAAAACTCTGGTGAATTTCTTCAGTTCCTTTAGTGTGTGACCTAATGTTCATAAAATCTGTTTTTTTTTTAAAGATAAAAGTCAAAATGACATTCTGTTGGCAATACAATGTAAAATTGTCAATGCTTTCGATTTTTTTATGTAGAAAAGGCTTGTGCTGCCAACAGTTAAAGTTCGTCGATTTTTAACTGACACTTTCCGTATGAGGGGCGAGGGGGTATTTCAATTTCATATGGCAAAAACAGGTGTCATGTCAGATAACCATTGGCGTTCTAATGTAGGGAACCACCAGCTCACATTCCGTCTGAGTATCAGATTAAAATCGACGGACAATACTAAATTTTTGACTTGGGGAATTATCCATGGAATTATCTTTAAAGAAAAAACAGACTTTACACAATAATACATTATGGCTATGGAATTTATTAATTTATTTACGACTGACATAATATAATGTAAGTATTATATTTATGATTTTGACAGTATAATGCCATATATTATTCCCGCAGGAATTAATGGGCATTATTCCCGCTTGCACACCAATCACAAAATTTCTCAAATTAAATAAGTAGTATCATGGAAACAATATATCTGAACGAGATCTGAACAAACTCAAAAGTGTCAGTGTCAAACGCGTAGTGCTTGTGTATTTGTATTGAGATGAATGAACAAAGAGCGTTTTTGAGAAGAAAATTCCAAATAAATTAATTTGTCGTAAATAAAGTAGAGTATACTACTCAATCAATCAATTCAATTCATTTATTGTATTCAGAAATTCATTCCATTACAAGGGTTCTATTGAGTTAGTAATTACATAAGTATTTCAAATTTTAATCCATAAAAAAGTGTTAGTAACGTAGACAAATTTTAAGTACCTATATTAATTAACCTATGAGATGCAGAAACCAAAATGCAAGTATTCACCAAAATAAAAAACACAAAATAAATATATAGTCGGTAAGTAGTTAATCAGATAAATAACAATATAAAGAAATCAGAGCAATATACAGATCTGACTTACTCATTCCGCAAGAAAGCACGCAGTCTTAGAATATTTGCCACAGTGAAAAATATATCTTAATAGAGATAAAATCCAAAAATGCAGTGCCTCTTGAGTTAATGGTTTTATCAAGAGATAAACGTGGGTGCAAAAGACTCGTGCCCTCCATCACCTCTCCACTTGAAATATTGTTATCGCCTAATCTAGAGTTGAAATCCCCGCAAACGTAGAGAGGTGTATTTGGGTAAGAGTCCCTGGCACTGTAAAGAGTAGCTTGAAACAAATCCAAAACATCATTAATATTCAAAGAAGGCCTAAAATATGCAACACACAATAAAAAATATTTTCCATTTCTGGAAGATATCTTCAAAATTATCCACCAATCAGAAGATTCGATTAGTTCAGCCTCGTATGTGTTCCTTATGTACACCGCTAGGCCACTGGAAGCACGCCCACGCGATGCCTCTCGTTTAGCACTACTAGATATGACCTTGTAGTTCGGTAAGATTTGAGGCGACGAACACAAAACTCCAACAAACCAGGTCTCGGCAAGGCACAATATGTCAAAATCACTGTGATCGTCCAGAAGGTGAGACAAATTGGATAAGCCGTCCAAATTCCAAGTAATAATCTTCATTGGTTGCTATTGCGTATTTTCACTAGGTGGATTTTTGCCCTTTAAAGGTTTTGCAACTTTAAAGGCGTCTCCGGTGTTAGATTCAGGCGAGAACGCAGCATTCCTAGTCCTTTTAATCGATGTAGAACCAGACGACGGCAACTGTATAATCTGGGGTATGCTCTTGATATATTTTATTGAAAGGTTCTGTTCTCCATTCTTTGTTCGCAAGTCCATTTCGCGTCGCAATGCTTGAAGGTGATTGGATTGGTTAGGAGTCAGGTCAGTATACTACTCGCAATAATGGCTATTATTCCCCCGGAATGTTACTCCCTCGCCGCTAACGCGGGTCAGTTCGTAAATATTCCTCGGGAATAATAGCTATCATTATTGACTCGTGGTATAATCTAATATTAAGTTTATATAGGAGATATTATAAGTACCTATTAGTCGAGCTATTAGTATTTCTACCCGAATACACATTCCGATGTTAATTTATATACATATACAGGGTGTATATTTTAAGTGATACCACTATTGCTATATCTGAAACGGTGGGAGCTACAGGGTCAGTTAAATTAGAAAAAAGATGCCTTGTTTGATGCCCATTTAAGACTCGTTGACAGTGTTGCCAAATTCCTTTTAGTTTATGAAATTTCTAAGAAACGTCCAAAAATATTTCATCATTTATTTCGAAAACTATTGATTTTCGAGAACCAATTTTAATTTGAAAGTTTTATAATTTTTTCCGCTCTACAATATGACATCTTCAAATTTTAAATCCGACGTTTCGTGATCGAGATACCATCATCAACTTAATTTTTTTAAATAAGGACCTGGATTAATTATGTCATTGTAAGGAAGCGCCCTTAATTCTCTTTCCAAAAATGACATAAAAAATTCAGGTCCGTATTTAATAAAATGAAAGTGATGATTGTATCTCGATCAAGAAACGTCGAATTTAAAATTTGAAGATGCCATGTTGTAGAGCGAAAAAAATTATAAAACTTTCAAATTTAAATTGTGTCTCGAATTTCAATAGTTTTCAAAATAATCGACGAAATAATTTTAGGCCTTTTTTATGAATCGCCCTGTATTTCATAAACTAAAAAGACTCTGGCAACACTGTAAACAAGTCTTGAATGATCATCAAAAAAGGCAACTTTTCTCTAATTTAACCGACCTTGTAGCTCTTATCATTTAGGATATAGCCATAGTGGTATCACTTAAAATATACACCCTGTATACAAATCGGCTTCAAAACGTTCGACGTCTTCCGATGCCCAGTCGCCATTGATATCTATCCAGCCAGAGATCCTCTCCAGTCCCCCGTCTCTTATTTCCTTGTATATCCCCTGTCTCCAGCGTGGTCTTCCCCTCTTTCGTCTTCCTGCTGGCTTCCAATCAAGAATCTGTTTTGTCAGTCTTTCATCAGACATTCTTTGTATGTGGCCATACCATTTAAGCTGTTGTGTTCTTATGTCGTCAACGATTGTCCTATTTATACCCATAATTTCTCGAATTCTGTCGTTAGTTATTCTTTCCGCTCTAGATTTTCCTGCAGCACGCCTATAGAAATCCATTTCTGTGCCTACAGAAATCTATTTCTGTCGCTTCGAGGGTACATACGATACGGCTCTATCCTTTAGCTGCCATACTTCGCTTCCATAGGAGACAATGCGTTTTACAATTGTGTTGTATATTCGTTTTAGAGATATGGTTGCCCCATAGAACACTGCTTAGCAAAGATATTGCTTTTCTTCCTTGAGCATTTCTATCTCTAATAGCTTCATAAAGCGTTCCACTACTTGACATTTTCACTCCCACATTTTTGTATTTACCGCAACCTTCAATAGTTTGACCATTATCCAGTGGCAGATTTTGTTGGGGTCCACCGACGCACATTTATTCGGTTTAAGATATGTTGACCTCTAGTCCCCATTTGCTATATTCTTCAACTAGCTTTCTGGTGATATATTCAAGATCGTCAATGTCTTGCGCCATTACCACTTGATCGTCAGCGAAGCTTAGGGTATAGATGATGTTGTCGTTAAGTGGGATACCCATATTGATACATTTACGTTTCCATTGTAGCAACGCTTTTTCTTAAAATATTTTGAAAAGTGTAGGAGACAAACAACAACCTTGCTTCAAGTCTTTGCTTGTGAAGAACCCGCTGCGAGTGCGTTTCCAACTTTTATTTTTATATGAGAGTTTTTGTAAATTTCCCTAATGGCTTTAGTTATCGTTATATTGATGTTTGTTGTTTCCAGGGCTTCCCACAGTTTAACCAGTGGAATGCTGTCATAAGATTTTTTCATGTCTACGAATAATAGGTGCCATAGGTGGACTTCTTTATTAACGGCTTACATTTTCTCTAGAATTTGTGTTACACAGAAAAGGTGATCAACTGTTGATCTTCCTGTCCGGAATCCAGCTTGTTCTTCGGCTTCGTTGACAGCGAATTCTTGTTCTATTCTGGTTTTGAGTACTTTATCGAATAATCTACTTATCGACCCCGTAACTGCAATGCCCCTGTAATTGCCATATTCATCTTTACTGCCCTTTTTATGTATTGGGGTAAGATAGGACTCTTTGCATTGGAGATGTTAACTCAGCTAGATGTAAATAATTATGTCAGTTACAATAATAGTACTTTGCAAACTTTGTAAAAACCGTATAAACCTTTCGTAATATATTATCATTATTATATTTTTCTGTGCAATTTGCAGGTTTTATTGTCCGTTCTCTCTGCTAGTTAATATTTATTTCACCGGCCATAGCCATGTCTTTTTCCAAATTGAATCATGTGATATAATGATCACAACAAAATGCACAATTTTGTTGATTTAATAAATACTTTCAACTGGTTTCAAGTTCGAAAGAGCTTTATATTGTCTCAATTTTATAAGTTCAACATTTTTCTGAAAACAAACAATCACCTAGAATTTGCTTTCAGTGCATACAAAAATAAAATCATAATTCAAAATCCAATTATGTATTGTAATATATAAGGACTAAGAACTATAATTTCAATTAGTGATTAATTTTGTTTAAACCTGTGAAGATTAATGATATTCTTAACGTCCCTGAGCACTCTTAGCTATCTGTTCCTTCAACACCAAAATACTATTCCTTTGCTCTGGAGGCAGCATGGCGATTTGTTCATCAGACAATTGCAAGACTTGCATTATAAGAGCAGCCTGAAAAAACGATTTTATTTAATTTTGTCACAACAAATTAAGTTTTTGGTCAATTTTCATTTTTCAACAACAAAAAGTATCTACCTTTTCTTGATCAGAAGCACCAGGTGGCATTGCTCCATTTACTGAAGCCATAGAAGCTGCTGCAGCTGCTTGTGACGGTCTGGGGGGTTGAGAGACTGGAACTGGTGCAGCTAAAAGACAGAAGGTATTTGGAATAATTGAAACTGCTTTATCCTGACTTTTTTCTCCAATATGCATATTCCTAAATATACTCACCAGCAGCTTTTTGCCTAGGATCAACTCTTCCCAACTGTCGAGGATCATTGGAAAAGGCACCAGGGCCGTTTCTAACTTCTCTTGGATCCCTAGGAAAGCTTGAGAAAAATATATAAAAACAGTGCTGATGCTAAAGAATTAACTATAAAATACATTACCTAGCGTTAGGTTCTGTAGATGCTGCTGAAGAAAAGCTGCTTTAAATTAATATAGTGTTTAACTCGATATCAAATCTAAAAAAAGACTCACCTCTCGACTGGTGGCAAAGGATTTGAAATTTGCACTGCGGGCGGCATCCTCAGATCCTGATCAGCCATGCGGTTCAATCTAGGGTCAACAGTTGGTACTCTTGGATCCATAGCTCTGAAATCAACATCATTCATACTGGTAAACACTGGTGCACTATGATTGGTGTTTGGAATAATAATTGGAGCTGGAACAGGTTGAAACTCTTGCCTGGGTGGAGCAACTGGAGCTGGAGCAGCTTGAAACTCTCTATTTATGGGCACTTGAACAGAAACGTTTTTGTCTCCAGGCATCAGTGTTGCTGGAACTTGATTTACAGGATGAAGAAGTGATGCTGCTGTATTAGCATCGATGATTTTCATAACTACTTGTGCTTGAAGTAAAGCATAAGCAAATTGTGGATTTTGCAATAACATTTGTCTAGCTTCAGTGGGATTGTTTTGAATAGTGGTTTTCATTTGCTTCATCAATTCAAACATCTGTTCTGGTGGCAAAGAGGCAACTGCTTTACTGATAGCCTCAGGAGCTTTTTCTGATTGAACCGGTTCTCCATAGGGATTTTCTATGGGTGGTTGGTTGAGTAAATTTTGCATTTCCATTCGAGATTTTTCAGTACAAGCATTGTCTACTCGCAAGTTACGACCTCCAATTTCGTAGCTATTTAGATTCCTCATAGCGCTCAGGGCGGTTTCTTGGTCACGGTATTCACAGAATCCATAACCTTTTGGTTTGCCAGTTTCACGATCAAAGACGAGTCTGGAATTAGGTAAAGAAACTCTATAATTTCATACCAGAAAGTCTGGTTTATTCATCTCCAGATAAACTTGTTGGTGACTATCTGCAAGGTGAATTTATCGTTCTATAATTCCAACGGTCAACCAATAACTGGGTAACCAATGGGATTACAGATTGCGTTTTTATCCGTCAGATTGCATACCTGACAGTTTATCAGAATGTGAATAAATTGGCCTTTGAACTCATAAATAACTACGATGTGTTTGTAAAAAGATTGGAAATATTCCTGAGGAATAAAATAAAATAATTAACTCTTGTTTCTAGTTGTTAAAAAAAAAATAATAATAAAAAGGTATGATATTGTTAAGTTTTAAGTAGCATAATGTTATGTTAAAGTTTATAAATTAGACAGTGGAGCACTGATTGGAGAGTCTGTTAAACATTGTTATAACTTTAATGCAAAGAAAATAATAAAGGATTATTTTCAACAAAAAAAAATAGAAACAATGAAACATAGTAAAATGTTTATTTATTTATTTATTTATTATACGGGATAACCCCATTAACAGCAAAATTACAACAAAATATAATAAATTGGTTAGGTATATACATTATAAAACCTGCAGCAAGTAAGCGTCAACACTAAGAGAAAAACAAGAAACAACAAAATTTAAACTTAACGAAAAACAATCTAAGCTACCCAGAAAAGAAAAAAAATATATACACATACTTAAGGAGAAAAAAAAAACAAAAATAAAATAGATTAACTATCAATCAACAAAAACAAAATTAATTAAAGTAATACTGCTCCACACCATTATTTTCATAACAAAACTGCCCTTTTAAAAATCCCTATCGATACATTAAAGACATCAATATCATGACAATTAATTAAAGACATATACCTATGTAAAGGGCTGTTAACCCCATATGTTGTCCTATGGAAAGGAATATGGAACACATTATTGTTGCGTAGACCCTGATAATATGGTACATTTAAACCTATATAATTCAAGAGATCTGGGCTGTCAATCAAGCCATTTACAATTTTATAAATAAAAACGGCACCAAACACATCACGGCGATTTCCCAAAGGACTTAGGGATAGTTGACGCTCAATATTATCGTAGTCATGGTCAATGATTGTAGGAAAATTATACCTAAAAGCACATATTCTCAAAAATTTATGTTGCACTCTTTCCAATAATGCAGAGTGAACATGAAAAAAGGGAGACCACACAACTGAACCATACTCTAGCACTGACCGCACTAAAGAGCAGTAAACAAGCCTCACTGATTCAACAGAAAAATACCTGCAGTTTCTATTAATAAAACCTAACATTTTTGACCCCCTTATACTTATTGAGATAACATGTTCAACAAATGACAATTTCTCATCGAATATAACGCCTAGATCCGCAACGGATGATACATACTTAAGTTGTTGACCTCCTATTGTATAATCTGTTCCGATTCTGTTTGGTTTCCTTGTGAAACTTATAAAGCAACATTTCTTTACATTCAAAAATAATTTGTTTGACACGCACCATTCTATCACACGATCTAAATCTTCCTGCAGCATTTGCTGGTCGCAAATGGTCTCTATAGTTTTCCAAAATTTAATATCGTCTGCAAATAACAAGCATAAACTATATAAAAAACAATCAACAATGTCATTAACAAAAATATTAAATAGCAGTGGTGAACAATGTCCACCCTGCGGTACTCCTGATGTAACATAGATAATGTCAGAGAAAAAACTGCCAATCTTAACCTGTTGAACACGGCCCCTCAAAGAACTCTCAAACCATAGAACAAGACCAAAGTTGAAACCAAACTTTTGTAGTTTTTGAAGCAATATATGATGATCAACTCGATCAAAAGCTTTCGAGAAGTCTGTGTAAATCGCGTCTATTTGCTTCCTGTTCTCCATGCTAAGTAAAATATCGGACTGATAAGTTATGAGGTTGGTTGCAGTTGACCTGCCCTCTGAGAAGCCATGCTGTTTTTGAGAAATAAGACCTTTGCACTGCCAATGCAATTGTTTACTAACGAGACAGTCAAACAGTTTAGGTATAGCTGATTGGATACATATACTGCGATAGTTCTCCACATTGTCCTTTTTACCGCTCTTGAATATTGGAACAATGTGACTAACTTTCCATTTGTCAGGAAATGTAGATAACTTCAAAGACTTATTATATAGTAAATGCAAAGGCAGCACAATGGTACAGACACATTGTTTTAATAGAAAATTTGGTATTCCATCGGGTCCAGAAGTAAGTTTATTTGGCAGTTTGCTAATCTCAATGAAAATATCAGTTTTTGAAATTTCAGAATAATTAATGTTTGTACTCAAATTGTTATCATTAAAGTCTGAAGAAAGATCGGTGGAAGATGTGTTTTTCGTGTAAACAGTTTGGAAGAATTCCTTGAAGAGATTGGCTATGTCCTGGCCATTATGAGCAGACTGGGCACCATAAGAAAAAGCACTGGGCAAACTATGACTTGACCTCTTATCTTTAATATACTTCCAAAAAGACTTAGGGTCTTCCTTCAGTTTGAGATCGATACCCGATAAATGTTATTATGTTATGTGAAAATTATGAACTTAGTACAATTTTTGTAGTAGAAGGAAGTAGCATTTCCATGCCATGGCCCATGCCAGAACTTACTTGAAAGACAATACTTGACCAACTTCCCCGAATATATCCTTTAGTTTTTCTTCTGTGGCCTCGTATGGAATGTTTCCCACTAAAAAAATAGTAAGAATAATTGGAAGTTTGGTGCAATGGAAGTTGAAAATAAATGGGTAAAATACACAATTATTACCAAAGACAGATCGCATGGACTTATCCATTATGTTAGCTTCTAAATTGTCCATTTTGAAAGGTTTCTTTTGTTATTTCTCGAGAAAAATTGACAAAAAGATCTAGTGAGCCCCTATAACTTTATTGATATATTAACAAGTAAAACAAAACAAGTTTGGACCTGTCTGCAAGAGACTCCCCATTCCCAGCTGTGCCAGTCCCCAAGCCGGTGTTGTTGTTGGTGTATTTTTAAATTTTAAATGACTTAGCAATTGACATCTAAACCTGATCTGACAAGTGATAGATCGCCTTTCAAGCGTGTTTCAAGCTTGACTTTTCTGACTTAAGGTGCTTTCCAGTGACCCATTTGAGTTACTCCTGAGCAGCTCAGGATTGCTCCACAATTACTTTGCGCGTTCCAGTGCTTAGAGTGTCGTACACTTGAACTACTCATTTCTGTTATCCCCTGCCCCCTCGTGCACCAACCTTTATTTCGGTGTTCCATGCTCCTGGGCTGCGTTCAGGAATGACTACAACCAAGCCAAAATTGGCATTTTGCGTTCGATTTCGGCTCCAACCTACGTGGTTCGGCATTACAGGTGGAGGGGGAAAAGTAGGTTTTGGCATTAGCATTGCCGTCCTTGAACGCAACCCTGGAGTCCGAAATGGTGAGGGTTAAGACGAGAGCGTTCCAGTGCTGCTTATGTCGAATAGTTCAAGAGCGTCACACTCCAGGAGCATGATACTCTAACAATTTAGGCACTGGAAAGCAGCTTTACTGTATTCCTTTTATACATTGAGTTACACCGAACGTGACCCTCGGAGCTCCTCGGAAGCACTCCAAAACACATAATTCAGATATTGATTATTATTCATTATTATTAACATAAGCCAAATGGGCTTCTTGCACTCCCCGCATTTGGTGCATCAGGGGTAAAAGGGATGCACTGCGAGGGACTCGACTGCTCAACGCACTTTTAAAAGGAACGTTCAAACTTTTGGCATTGAGCAGCTCCGAGTTACTCAACGGGTAAAAGGAATACAGTAATTCTTGTAGCGATGAGATCTTTAATTTTTTTTTTTGGAAATTTAAGTTTTAATCGCCGTAATTTGTTTTCTACACTCTCCGATTCGAAACGTTTCTTTGTTCACTGAAACAAGTTTATCTCGTGGTTGTTCCAATCCATCTCTGAGGCGTGTTCGGAGACAGTGTACAAAGTACAAACACAGTAGCCGCTTTCGGGTACAGAGTGCGAAGCTCCTGGAACACTTCACACCTGTCAGTGACCTGTCATTCTCCATGCGTTTTGCACTCGAACGCTTGATACCGAACGGGTCTAAAAACTGTTGCTGGAGTACTTCTGAGAAACTCGGGAGCGCTCAAAAGGTGGCACCCGAAAGCAGTTAGTAGCTGCTTTCGGAAATGTAAATCCTGGATCGAGTAGGTTAATATCAGCTGATCGTGGTTTAGCACGTTTTCAGAGTAGATTATTCAACGTTTCCGAACGCTTGAGATCGAAGATCGCCGGCACACCGCGTTCTCAATGAACTGCTTTTCTTCAAAGATTTGGGTTAGATCTTTATTTTTGACTTTTCAAAGAATTTCGAACCACCCCAAACACAAAAAATCACAATTTCAAACACAAAACTTGACAAAAGAAGACAAAACATATAAAATAAACACCTTAACATATAACCAAAAACATTAAACAGCTGATAGAATAATTTTCTACCCACGTCAAGAGTAGGGATAACGAGATCACAAAAGCCGCTTTCCCCTGAAGCTTTTGTGCACGCAATCGAGCTTTTGCGCGCGCAAATGCTTCAAGCGCGTGTTCGTGTTCCAGCGCCTCAGAACTGCTAACTTTTGCGCTTCAAACACAGAACACTGTGCTGCACCGTGTTTGAAGCACACAGCAAAAGCGGCTAAACATATATGGGAAAACCGAGTCAACAAGATCACTTACCGAACGCGAGTACTCGACTTCGGATCGTTTTACGAACAATGAGATTACTAATCCGATCGAACCGATTAATCGGATCACACTTTCCGAAAGCGGCTAGTGCAAGCAGGTTTCCGCTTACCGGTAACCGTAACCAGCGCCGACTCGCGCTTATAAGCGCGAAAAATGAATGTACCGTCAAAATAAGTAAAAATGATATTCTATTTATTAAGAGTTTTATTTTTTTTTACCACCATATTTTTATTATTTTCAATAACATCGATGTTTAGAAACATCGATATTTTAAAAGCCGATGTTTTTACAACATCGATGTGTTTAAAATTTTGCTTATCCCTACTTCAAACGGAATGAAAATGTATAGTTTATTTCTGCTTTTACACGCGTCGCGGCAGTGTCTTTTCAGTTTTTGTGATGGATAAGGAGCTACTAATAGCTGCAATTTTTGAAAAAAAACCTATTTGGGACAAAAGGCATAAGCAGCATAGTAATCGAAATGTCGACAAATATTGGAGGGAAATAATATTCTCCATACAGGTTTCTTCTACGATTAAGAATATGTATATTTACCAACTCTTTTTTTTCAAATTTAGTATGCATATAGAATCTAGCTAGAGCAATCAAATCATCATCATCTGAAGATGACATAATATTTGCTAGGCTTATGGTTGCCAGACGTCCCGATTTTAACGGGACAGTCCCGATATTGGACATTTTGTCCCGTGTCCTGATGGACTATACGTCGGGACGCTTAATGTCCCGATCGTCCCGATTTCACGAAATTCTTTCATAATTCTTATTATCAAGATTTTTTTGGTTTCGACTCGACGATAAGAATAAAAAACGCCCGAATGCACCGTTTGCTGATTCTAATCTTAGTTCCCCAATCCCGTTTATGTAAACTTTGGCCTTTAGCTATGCACCGTCAGAGGATTAACTAATCCGGAGTGGAAGTTTGGCAACGTTGGTATCCCAAGAGTTTTTGACACTTTTTAAGTCAATTAACATTAAAATTGTCAGCACAGATTAACCCGTCCTAATTAATCTGTTAATCTGTGATTGTCAGTATCACCAGTATCAAATTTCAATTTTTATTTGATTTTTATTTCTATTTTCAAAATATTAAAATGACTGATGAAAACACCAAAAGAATCGCCAACTTTTTCCCGGGAGAAAGGCAGAGTCTCATGAGGATACTTTCAAAATTCGGTCATATCATCGAAGACAAAAAAACAAACAAAGTTTCCAATGTCGGAAAGTTTCAAGCTCAGAACCGATTTACAGGAGAATTCAACAGCACTGCACCTATACTCTGCCATAGAACCGTCGAGCAGTTAGAAAGGCTAGATACTAGCTATTATCTGTAGCTGTTATACCTACCACTACCCACTACACCTCATATCGCCAAAAAAGTATGTTTATGTAGCGGGGCATTTCCCGTAGAATAAGTTGGATTTGAAGAAGGTGCATGAGATGGGGTGATCTAGCTAGACAACTTATTATCAGAAAGACATACTTTCTTTTATTTATCAAGTACTTAACAAATATTATTTTGGAATTTAATTTATTCTGTGTTCTCCAGGAAGTTGGGATCTGTAGGTTTCGTAAGTCGAAACTTCGAAAAAACGAGTAATAATTGTCCATATTGTCGAAATAATAACTTCTTTCGTAGACAGACTGTAGACTCTGCGAGATCATCATCTATAAATATTTTGTCCTCTAAATCCATTTTACACCAGAATAATGAAAAAATTGTATAAAAGAAACTTCAAAATCGGTGCCACGAAATATTTTTAAGTTAGACACAGTGTTGTTCAAAGGCTCTTCAAAGGGCACAATTGTGCCAAAAGTGGCACTTCTCGCCCGCAAAATGCACGGTGGCACCACTTTGAAAAATTTGGCACGATTCACATTCACATTAATTTTAGGGAATTTAATAAATGAAATATATCATATCTTTCGGTTTTTATTCATGTAATAAAAAGAAATCAGTAAAAAAAAAGTCAAAAAATCCTCTCGCATCATTTTTTCTAAGTGGCACTATTTGGCACTATTTGGGTTTCGCTGCAGGCACACACAAAAATTCCCCAAGAACAACCCTGGTTAGACACCGTTCCGCTAATCCACGCATCATTGTCATTGACCGATTAGATAACTTGCAGCTTAAACCGAATTTTTCTTGCGGTGCATAGAAAACAATATCTAATCCAGGTTTTCATAACTAATCCTCGAAATTAGCTTACGGTGCATACCTGACTAAGGGCGGGTATTATAAAACTACTTTGAGAGTTAACTTAAAGTTAACTTCTGAAATTACATGTAATTCAAAAAGTTAACTTCAAGTTAACTGTCAAAGCAGTTTTATAATACCCGCCCTAAGTAAGTAATGCATTTTATTATTTTGCGTTATTTTTTATTTTTAAATTTTATCAGAAATTTTATTGTTGTTTTATTTTTATATCAAATTAAGTATTCTTTTAAAGAAAAGTGTCCCGATTTTTATTCAAAGTCCCGATTTTTTAACAGCTTTTTGATTGGTATACCCGATCTGTGGATATTTTCAATCTGGCAACCCTAGCTAGGCTAGAAGTTCGAGACGAGACACAACTGGCAGGTGGCAGATTCGAAGTTTAAAAAGATTTTCTCGCTTTTGCAGGATTTAACTCTGTGCCAATGACCTATTATCACAGATATACAGAGTATTCCATTCATAAAATACTATTTGTTGCGTTGACAACATGAGCCGCTTTCCAGCTGACCATTTTGAGCACGCAATCGAGCTTTTGCGCACGCAAATGCTTCAAGCGCATTTTCGCGTTCCAGCCGTACTGCGCTTCGAGAGCTGCTAACTTTTGCGTTTCAAACACAGAACACTGTTCTGCACCGTGCTTGAAGCACACAGCTGGAAAGTGGTTATGTTTTTAGGCCAGGGGGGATTTGGGGTGCAAGCGGTCCATAGTGGGGCTTTAAGCCTAGTACTCATAACTGCGAATACGCATTTATTTGACATTGCGTTGACAATTTGACGTTTTATGCGTGTATCAAATGTCAAATTGTCGAAGCAATATCAAAAAACTGCGAATTTCGCAATTATGAGTAGGTACTAGGCTTTAGAAAGAGAAAATAAATATTCCTACGAATAAATATGGCATTTTAGTAGTGGGGGAATTTCATCAAGATAGAAAGAATCGGACATGTTGTCAACATATATTTTTATTTATAAATCCGTCTATCTGTAGTTGTAGGTCATTGCTCTGTGCTATCTCGGCGCGAGAACACTGCGCATATCGGCGCTGCCTACCAGTAAGCGAAAAACCTGCTTGCACATGCACATAGCGCAGCCTGAATCGCAAGCGTTCCATCGAGGCCTGCGGGTGATGTCACCAGTTCTAATCCATCTCTGAACATCCTTGGTGTAGCGTTAGCCTAGCAGAGTGAAATGCACGCTTTCCATTTTCAACGCTCTGTTTTTGAGTGTCAAATTTATCACGATATGATCACACAGCAAACCTTATTCTCATCTTGAAACCGGAAAATACCGGTAAGAACCGATTAAATATTAATTTATATCGGTTCCGGTGCTGCCTGCCTACAACATTTCTATGAAACATGGGTTTCATTCCGGTTCCGATCCGCAAAAAAAAACTGTTCCGTTCCGGTTTTCGTTTCTGTCCGTTCGGTCGGTATTTTGATCAGAGTTCTCCGAGCTTGAATTTACCGTTAGTTTATTTAAAAAGTGTACTCAGTGTAGGCTCATCCACGTTTGTTTATTAAAATCTCTGAAAAGTCTTGTTGCACCCATTAGGGCGGGTATTATAAAACTACTTTGAGAGTTAACTTAAAGTTAACTGCTGGAATTACATGTAATTCAAAAAGTTAACTTCAAGTTAACTGTCAAAGCAGTTAAAACCCGCCCTTAGGCGTTAACTTTTTGAATTACATGTAATTCCAGAAGTTAACTCTCAAAGTAGTTTTATAATACCCAAGTTGTATTCCTTTCACACCTAGGAGGAGCTCCGGAACAGCTCCGGGGCTTTACGCGCTTATTACTTTCGAAAAGTGTTTGTTGCACCTGTGCGCTCAAGCCCGAATCAAACCATTTAAATGCATGAAAACCAGCGCATCTGTTCCTTTCAAATCAGGGTCGACCAACACCAGAGCGAGTAGCTCTAGTGTTTTAAGCTCTTGAAAGTACAACTAATGAGATCATATTTAAATACGTTTCACTAGTGAAATGTCATTGGTTGCACCCCGCACCTCACCCTTTGAAATCGGGGTCGACTAACACCGGAGTGAGTAGCTCGAGTGTTCCAAACTCTTGAAAGGAATAATTATTTGAACAGTAGTTGTATTCCTTTCAAGAGTTGACACTAGAGCTATTCGCTTCGGTGTTAGTCGACCCCAATTTGAAAGGAACAGATGCGCTGGCTTTCGTGCATTCAAATGGTTTAATTCGGGCTTGGGCGCTTCAGGTGCAACAAACACTTTTCGAAAGGCAGTGGATAGAGGTCCGAAAATTCGGATCTCTAGTGTTCATACTAAAGTTCCGATAATTCTCGGATTTTCAATTTGTATATTATGGCCGGTCCTCATGTACGATAAATTTCTGCGGAACTGCGGAGTTGCGGAATCACGTGATCGGAATATTGAAACATCATTGGGCGTTTGGCAGCCATATTGAATAAGTGACAGCTCCGCATGCTTTCCGGATAAAAGTTGACTACGTTCAACTTTTTTCCGTATTCCGTTGTTTACTTTCGGTGTTCGTTGACGTTGATCGGCCATTTCTTGTTTGTTTTGAATTTAAAAAGTGTTTGAAATTCTGGGAATAATTTAATTTTATATTGCTTTTCGATATTTTTCTTTTCTTCTATTTGGAAAATGGATCAGGTAAATACACTTTATTTATAATTTACTTCTTTTTAGTAACATGTTAACAAATTGTAAACTGAAACTTGAATTTTTTCCCTTTTTTCTAGCAATATAAATGTGGATATTGCAAGTTTCTCATCAATACACATTGCGAGGACTATACATCTCACGAGTGCTTCATGGAGTTGAATTTTGATGTGGCCCTGCATGATATTATGAGTGACGAGAATGGTGTTCTACATTTGGGTATGTAGCTAAGTTTTTTATATCCATTTTAAACATTTTTTTACAATCGGTTTGCATGTCAACATTTTCGGAATTAAAGCAGTAGTGTTTTATTTTTTAGTTGATAAAGCTTCAAACACCATCCTGCAGAAACTCAACAAAGAAGCTACTACAGCTTCATGGGAAGAACTTTTGATAAAGTTTGTTCAGGATAGGCCCGCACTTTATAACATAAAGATTCCTGTTACTGAAAGGAGCCATTTAAAAAAAAACAATCTCTGGGCTGAAATCCACAACCTTTTAGAGGGGAAACACTCCCTAGAGGCAATTAAAGCCAAGTGGAGGTACCTGCGAGACTGCTACATGAAAGCCAGGAAAAAAATGGGGCAGTACAAACCAAGTGGTTCAGCTGCAGGAACCAAATTTGATTCTGGCTTCAGATACTATGCCAGTATGCAGTTTCTGAACGACTCACTCGAGATGCCAGAGTAAGTGTGTTTTTTAGAATGTGTAATAAGGAAATAGTTTTAATTTTGTTTAAAAGAGCGCTGAAAATTAAAGTCATATTTTTTATGTTAATTTCAGAACTGTATGTTCAGTACCAATAATGACGCCCAATTTATTTTCACCTACACCATCCACCTCTACTAGTGAACAAGGTGATACGGAGGCATCTCAGGCATCCATTAGTTTTGTGGAAGTACCAGAGACCCCATCTGCAAAAAGTAAGTTCTAATTGTTCTAAAGATTATTTAACTTTGTTGTGTAATAGAATAAGTTCATCAGTATTTTCTTGCTCCATTTGTAAAAGCCTTATGTTTAAACCTTTTCCTTTATGTGTAGGTACTTAATGCATTAACATATAAATATAAGCATTAATTAATTATAGCTTAAATATCCATTTATTTATTACACAATTGCTAACAAACAACAAACCTTGACTTCCAAAAAAAAAACAAACAACAATTGAAAAATATACATTTGGGTACTTAAGTATTTCACTTTTTTTGTAGTTTCAAAACGTGAAAATCTCAATGAAAATTTATAGGGTTTTCCTTTCAATCTGTCTTAAATTATCCAATAATAAAATACAGTAAAGTTTCCCAATAGGTCACTAAAAATTCCATTACAAATTGGTAGTTTGAGGGCAAGAAAAAATAAATTATCTACCTAAGGTGAATAAAATTCAGTATTTATTGAAATGTAGTTGCACCAAAGAAGGTACTTAAAAACCCATTTACATAATTTGGTTTCATTTATCTCCAGTATTTCCAATAGTACCAGTAATAAAGTGCAAAAATTCCCAGAAGGGCCTTGATGACCACAATTAAGGGTAAATGTTCCAGGTAATTTTCCTTACAGTTAGGGCTTCATATGACCATGGCCCTTTTCAAAGAGTTTTGGTATTCGAGGGGTCTTTTAAAATAGGCCTATTAGATTTATTTCAAGAAGCCAAAACTGACCGCTTTTAACAGGTGGCTGAAATGAGAAGTTTTACTGTATAATTAATTACCTAGGTATTTAATTGAAAAATCCATTTTCACGTTTAATATTTTTTACAGAAAGAAGAGTGGATGAAAAAAAAGAATTCCAAAAAGGTGTTTTGGACATTCTTACAGCACCTCCGAAAGCTTCAGATGGAGTGGATGGATTTCTGATGCGATTGGGAGAGAGCCTTCGGCGTTTTCCGTATAGGGAACGCAGTCGCCTTGAAATTGACATTATGAAACTGGTTTTTGACAGAGAATCAGAATTAGATTTATAGGAATTATAAAAATAAAGCATGAATAAACATTATGAAATTTATTTTTTTGCATTTTTTTTACAATAACAACACAGAATTTTACTCGGTAAAAATATATAATCAATATTGATATAGATATTATTTTATTAGAGCAGGGTTTTTTTTTTGGAAAATTTGGTCTATAGTGTCAAGAAGTTGAACAGTCAATTTATTTTTGAAAAAAATCTGTATATTTTCTATTTATGTCTACATCAGGAGGATAAAAGCTAAAAAAACACAAATGTTTGTGTTTTTTTTTTGCTTTTATCTTCCTGATGGAGTCATAAATAAATGTCGAAATGGAAATATGAAGTTATCTTTTTTCAAAAATAAATGAGTGCTTAACTTCTTGACTTACTACACACTGAATTTCCCAAAAAAAAACCTGTTCTATTACACAAAGATATGGCCGATAATTACCATTTATAGCTATTATTTTATACATTTTCTGGCTTAAACCTTATCATTAAAAATCTTAATTATATATACTGATTAAAAATCATTCTGCATAGCTTTCTGCCACTGCCAGTCCACTGCACCCGCATTACAAAAATAATTGGTGAATGATTCCCTGATATTGGCTGAATTTCTGGTGAAAGTATTGGCACCTGTTCGCATTATATCTACTAAACCATCAGTTGAAGAGACGTCATTCATTTCTTCACAGCTGGCATTATTCTCAGAGTTTTGCATCAATAAAAAATTATGTAAACAAACGCATGCCTGTACAATTTTTCTTATAGTAGCTTCACTAGCCAGTATTGGCCTGGAGAATATGCGCCATTTGGCAACCAATAGTCCAAATGCATTTTCAACAACTCTCCTCGCTCTACTGAGTCTGTAATTAAATACTTTCTTCCTCATGTCTAGATGAAATCTGCGAGGATAGGGACGCATAAGGTAATCTGTCAAGGGAAAAGCTTCATCTCCCACTAACACATATGGCAAATCATCTTCCATTTGTGGAATATCAAACAACTTTTGTTCAAAACCTTGACCCATATTGCTGCTTTTAAAAACACCACTGTCGCTGAATCTACCTGGAGCCCCAATATCAACCATTATAAAACGGTAATGTGCATCAGCAATTGCTAACAAATGAATTGAGTGGAAGCCTTTATAATTAAAATATTTTGAACCAGATTTTGGAAGAGCCTAAAAAAAAAAAATGAAATAGGACAGACGTTCCCAATTAGATTTCTCACCCACCTGAATAGTAATATGCTTTCCATCTATAGCGCCTATACAATTCTTAAATTGCCACTTATCTTGAAAGTCTTTGGCGATTTTTTTCCAATTCTCTTGAGAAGGAGCAACAAATACTTGGTCCTTTAAACACTGCCATATAGCCTCACATGTTTCGCTTATGATATTTGAAACTGTTTGTTTTCCCACACGAAAACTGTATGAAATACAGGTCATACTCTCCCCAGAAGCCAGATAGCGGATGGTGATTTCCAAACGAGTCCTGGCATCAATCGGAGTTCTAATAAAGTCCTGTTTTATGATGTAAGGTTCCACAATAGATAGGAGGTGATCAAATGTTTCTGGCATCATCCTCAAATAATTGAAGAACTTTTTGCGATCCGTTCGACGCATCTCCATAACTAAGTTGTTACTTGCCCCTTGTGAGATTCTTTGATCTGCCAAGAAAATATCTCTCACCCACATTTTTTTATGTTCTTTTTTAAAGTCCAGGATATAATTGTATATCTTATACATTTTTATCAATCGTTCACGATAACAATTTTTATATCGCAAAGCACAGTTTTTATATTGTTTTACTAAAACTGCAACAGCCAAGAAAGCCGTATCCTCATCGAAGTTTTCCATGGCAGTTTTCACGTAAATATAATTCACAAACAGAGAAATATATTAAAATTAATTCAAATATTCAAGAAGAAACAAATACAAATACAAATTTTCAATTTTCTAGGTTATCCCATTCGATCCGCACTACGTATTTTTGACATTTGCATTTGGACGGTAGTTTGAAAATTGCACAGTTCCGCAGTTACGCATCTCCGCAGTTCCGCAGAAATTTATCGTACATGAGGACCGGCCATGGTTCCGAAAATGCGGATCTTCAGTTGTATTATTGAAGATCCGAAAATAGATGTTTATTTCTAATTCTGTCGTAATTAAGGAATATTATACCATTTCAATAAAATTGATAAAATGCTTGCATTTTTAAGGATTTATACTAGAAAAAATGGATCCTCTAATCCTTTTTATGTTAAACTAATCAAGTTTACTCGAAAATATTTGATTGGTGCAATTTCAAACAAAAGTACAAAAAACAAAACTAAGTACCTTTTTATTTTTTTTAAAAATTACATAATTAAAAATAAATATATCTTCATTATAAGGGTTGATAGGGTAAGAGGTGTGAGGTTTGTTTGTAGTTCCTTCTGCACTGCATGCAAAACCAGGCTTTCTTACTAGAAGGCAGCTTTGTTACTGAACAACACACTATGTTTACACCGAAGACATGACGCCGTAAGCAATCTTCATGTATCACTTTGTTACATATATCACAAATCCATTTTAGAATACTATTTTGTTTTTCTCCAATTCGTTTTTGTAATAAAACATAAGAATCCAGACAAAAATATGTTTCTATTTCTGCTAAAGATATTTCTTTTTCAAGAAGAAGTGGATCAATTTGTTGATGATGAGGAATGTTTTATTTCTCATTTTTTAAGTTTTTATGTAATGCTTTGCTTACCAAATCATCTGTATTTAAAACTGCTTTTATTTTTCTAGACCTTTTTAGTCCAATTGCAGTTAATTGATGTCCTTTGGGTCTTCCTTTATGGGTTTCAAAGGAAATTTAATACTTTTTATTTTTTCTTCGGTTTTGTGCAGTAGTATTTGGTTCTTGGGATAGTTTAATTAAAATGGTTGCGCAAAAATCTACAAAGAATCGGTAATATTCAAGATTTCAAGATAAGTCTGTTTCTGCAGAAATCACAAATTAGTCAGAGCAAATTTCATTGGTTGAAAACCAGTCAGAAACAGTCAGAAAACTAGTATCAACCAATGAAATTCACTCTGACACTCTGACTGGTTTGTGATTTCTGCAGAAACAGACTTATCTCGAATATTATTCTCTGTAGATACTTGCGACGATACTCCTTAATTAGACAGACAGACACTAAAGATCCGCATTTTCGGACTTCTAATATACAAATTGAAAATCCAAAAATTATCGGATCTTTAGTATGAACACTAAAGATCCGAATTTTCGGACCTCTATCCACTGCCTTTTCGAAAGGAATAAGCGCGTAAAGCCCCGGAGCTCCTCATAGGTAGTTGTATTCCTTTCAAGAGTTTGAAACACTCGAGCTACTCGCTCCGGTGTTGTCGCCCCCGATTTGCAGGAAACAGATGCGTGATGCAACAAACACTTTTCGAAAGGAATAGGGGCGTAAAGTCCCGGAGCTGTTCCGGAGCTCCTCCTAGGTGTGAAAGGAATACAACTGGGGCGAGTTCAGGAATGACACACCCAGTGTGAGTGTGACACCGGTGCGACGCCCTAGCTGTTCAAAAATGCTAGACAGTGCTATGGGCCCAATGGCCAATTGTCAATTCAGGCACACTCATAAAATCGCACTCGCACCCTGTGCGTTATTTCTGATCTCGGCCCTGGTGTGAAAGGAAAACAACTATTGAAAAGTCAAATCCGCGATATATGTCAAATTTGTCAATGCACATCTGCTGTTATCTGTCCTGTCAAATATGAAATAACCGGCTTTCGGCTTGCTAAAGAAAAACTAGACTAGAAAAAGTAAACATTAAAAAAACACAAACTAAACCGTAAACAAGCATTCCAAAAAAAGAAAATAGGAAACCCCATGTTTTCATTACCTTCAATTTTTTAGATACATGAAATTAGTAAATATTTAACATCTAGCTTGAAAAATACAAAGAGAATGTTCCAGGGAATCAAGCAGTTGGAAGAAAAAAATGTCGCCAGCGAAATTAACTGCATGGTGTGGAGTAGCCGGATGGATTTGGTAGCATTTTCCAATGCAAAGGGTAAGAATATAGGTAGTACAGGATAACCAAATGCATTGAATTATCTGCTCTTTTCTACTATTGAAAATAATTGTTTCTCTGCTATTCACCGCATCGCAGGGTGTCCAATTTCAATACCTTAAAACCGTTGTTTTGAAGTTGATGAGAATCATCAAGCCAATAATGTGTGTAACTTTCAAATGTAGGACACTCACCTATGTTTGTTGGTCACACAAACGAAACAATAAATTAAATTACAATATAAATTTACTCTCGGTATCACAAATTCAAAGACCACGAAATCACAAGGATTAACGAACCTAGCAATAGGAACGAACAATCAATCAATTATGTTTATTAAATAAGCAATACATGCTGTAATGCTGTATAACATAATAGTTAAGCCTGCAGTTCAATTCTTCTGCTGGGAGTGATATACTTTGACTATTTTTGAAGCTAGGAATACCTTCTCTGTGTAGCGCAGCTGATCATCGTTAGTAACACAGTGGAACTCGTCATCGAATCCCTTCACACTATGATCACCAATAATAAGTAATTGGAGTTTTCTGGAATATCGGTTCCGATTTGGGTTGTTGTTTTGCTATTTTGACAGTTTACTTAGTATTTGGTCCTATTTCTGCCTGATACAGCAGTTATTCACATATTTCCAGCAGATTTTTGTGGATGCCAGTGATTTCTTCCGAGATTTCTCTAGGTTGATCTTTCTGTGTTTCATTTTGCAATTCTCTGTTCTTACTTTCTTTAGATCTGTCAAAGTCAAAGTCAAAAATAGCTTTATTGTCTTAAAACAAAATGTTGCTGACAAAGCCGTACTAAAATAAAGTCTAAAACTAACACTAAAATTAAAAATTAAAACATTACTCAGTTAAAACAGAGAATAAAAGAACAAAAAACAGAAAAAAAGTTTTCACCAACGCATAAAACACAGACAAAAATATAAAATCTTGTACAATACGCAACGCAACAATATAGAAGAAAAAAAAAAAATTAATAAAAGTAATAGTAAAAAAAAATAAAAGTAATAGTAAAAGTAATAACATTCACTTTTCTTACATATAAAAGTTGACTCATTACAAAAGAAACGATACCAAACATACATTGCCACTCGCTGTCAAAAACAAAGGTCCAATATTCCTCAACCAGTTACTATCCTTTCATTAAAATATTCTTCGAGACTATAGTATGCTTTATCAACCAAAAAAGCCTTAACCTGTTTCCCAAAACTTTTGTAGCATCCAAGCTTTCTTATTTCAATTGGAAGATGATTGAATAGTTTTTTACCTTCATATATAAATGATTTTTTTACCAGTTGGGAATGAGGTATGGGCAAGCCGAGAAGAAACGACTGACGAGTATTATAGTGTTTGTCCGCCTCCCTCTCAGTCCCGTATTTCCTGAACATCATGCACACCGTTTCCATTATAAACATTGAATAAAGCGTAAGGATAGCATGACTGATAAAAAGAGGGCGACAGGAATCACGAGTCCTCACTCTGAATATACAACGGACTGCCCTCTTCTGAAGCAGAAACACTGAATCAAAAAGTGAACGTGTGCAGCAACCCCAAAAGCTTAGTCCATATCGTAGGTGAGATTCCACCAAAGCGTAGTATGCATTCTTAGCAACCGAGACATCCAAACTCCTCGATATCACTCTTAAGGCATAACATCCCGAAGAAACCCTTTTACGGAGATTAGAAATGTGATCGTCAAACTTGAGAGACTTATCAATTGTGAGGCCCAAGAATTTGTTGTGGTTTTGTGGAGTTACAGGATTATCCTCCAGGTAAACACTCTCCAGTTCACATTTGAAGTTTAAAACATTGGTTTTCGAAACATTAAAAGACAATAAATTGGAGTCGCACCAGTCCTTCACCATCCTCAAATCTGCATTTATGTCATTATTGAGTTTTTTCACATCTGAGCCGTGCCACAAAATTGTCGTATCGTCCGCAAAAAGAGTAAACTTTCCTGAAATTGGGAGTTGGGGCAAATCGTTGACATAAATCAGAAAAAGAATGGGTCCCAGCACAGATCCCTGTGGGATTCCAACATTGATGTTCATGCGTTCTGACTCACCATCCTGAAATCTTACGGTCTGCGATCTACCCGACAAGTAGGAGCGAAACCACCTCAAAGCACCACCCCGAAAACCATACCGCTCAAGCTTCCACAGTAGTATCTCGTGATTCACACAGTCAAACGCCTTGGAGAGGTCACAAAAGACTGCCGAGGCTACCTCTCCACCATTCAACTGCTTATAGAGTAGCTCAAGGAAACTGAAAATGGCATCGCCAGTGCCAATCCCCTCTCGAAAACCGAACTGTTGGGCGCTCAGGAGTCCAAGTCCACCGAGAAAGGCTAACATCCTTCTATTCACAATTTTTTCTACTATTTTAGCCATGATAGGTAGCAGAGTTATTGGACGGAAGTTTGACGGCGTGTCGTGGTCTCCACCCTTATGCAAGGGAATAACCACAGCTTGTTTGAGACACACAGGAAATTCGCCCGACAGAAACGAACTATCTATAGCTCTTGTGAAAGCTCGCAAGGCTCCATCAGGCAAAAAAGACACAACCCTCAAAGAAAGATTATCCCAACCCGATGTATTCTTATTTTTAATCTCGTAAATAATTTCCTTAATCTCTTGTACCGATGTTGGGGATAAAAGGAATGTCTCAGCTACCACAATGTGCTCTAGATAGGCCCTAGGATCAAGCGGCTGATGAATACTAGCAGCTAGATTGGATGCAATGTTACAGTAAAAGTGGTTAAGATCATTAGCCTTTAACTTGCTCATAACTACCTTTTTATTATTATTCTTCCCCAATAAGTCACTAACAATCTTCCACGATTCTTTGGATGTGTTGGAGGAATTTTTGATTCTATCACGGTAATACATGTCTTTAGCCTGTCTTATGGAATTTCGGTAAATTTGGCGATATCTATAAAAATATTGAGTGAAGTCTTGGTTGTTCATGGAATATTTTCTTATGTAGTGAAGAGAACGCATATTTTTCCCAGAGATACGCAATCCTTGGGTATACCAAGGTTTACGTTTTCTTTTTTTTAAATTAACAATTGGAAAGGATGTATTAAAATTGTTATGAACAATAGCGTGGAGCGTTACCAATGAGTCGTCTGTGGCAAGAACACCATTCCAGTCAGACCGTGCACACAACAGTTTGAACCTTTCAAAGTTCCTTGCTGTATACAGCCTACCCCGTCTTATTTTATGCTCAGTGTGTACTCCAAACGGGATACAACAGTGTACAGCCTCATGGTCAGACAACCCAGCATTAGTAGTATTACACGCCACCAAGTCTGCATCAATGTTGGAGCATATATAATCCAGGACAGATGATGACAACGCTGTACGTCTGGTTGGCTGATCGACATGCATACATAAGTTAAAAGAATCCAACAAGTTACACAGCAACTGATTATATCTATTGTCCCTGTCAAAAAAATTTATATTCAAATCACCAGACAAAACTATGTTAGCGTTAAGTGGAATTTCAATCAAAAGAGATTCTAGTTTATTAATGAATGATTGAATATTCCCAGAAGGAGATCTATAAATCCCCAACACATACAAGTTAAAACGACTACAATACACAACAGAAACTTCAAAAACTCTCTCTTCTAAAAGATGATCAAATCTCTCAATTGAAGTAAACTCAAACCTGCTGAGAAAGTCATTCTGCATCATAATCAACACTCCACCATGTGCATACTGCTTCCGAGAATAGTTCGACAACAGTGAATAATTCTCAAATCCAAGAGGTTCATCACATCTAAGCCAGTGTTCCACCAAAACAACGATGTCCGGAAAATTCAAAGACTCCAAAAATAACACCAATTCATCAACCTTATTTCTAACAGACTGGATATTAAGTAACACTAGAGCAAGGCTTCCTTGAGCTGAAGTTGCTCTAAAAAAGGAGGGGTGCGTCCCTGTGCATTTGACCGCGAGTCACAAATTTCTGTTATGTCTATAATTTCCTTCTCAATATTTTTCTTGTGTAAATTTTTATTTATAAAATCTAAGACCTTTTTACGTATTGCTTGACCTATTCTTACCTTGCCTCTATATTTAATATATAAATTATTATTATTATAATTAAAGTAAATGTCTTTATTTCCTATAAAGGCATTGAAATGCAGAACCTGTTGGACATCATTTTATTGTACTCATTGATAAAGTTATTGACTAATGTGTTATTGTTCCATAGGGGAACAGAACAAATTATAACATTTGTGTATTTACCCACTGATTTAATAGTCTGTATAGTTTTTTCTTCAATATGTCTTCCCTTCACTAAGTTTGTCACACCAGCCATTAAAATCACATAGTCTTTTTTGTCAAAATGACGTGTATAATTAAAAACCTCTTTCACAACGTCATCGAGTAACGCATTCTCTTTAATTAAGGCCGAAACGTGATACTCTTTTCCCATACATCGCTCCACAATATCCCTGAAACCTTTCGCCAAACCATCACCCAAGATGAATATATTATTCTTAGGGGGAGTAACTACGTCGCCTTTCTCTTTTGCATTTTGGCTTCCCGCATTCATTTGTTCAGCATGGACTTCTCTGCAGCTCTTTAAATGAAATACTTCACCACGCAGTCGCTTAGTTTCCCTTGCAGCCATATCATTTTCTTTCTCCAAGACTTCATAGGAAACCCTCAAATTGTTGTTCAGAGCTGTTAACTCTTCCAAGTTTTCCTTCGTCTTCTGCAAAAGGTCCTGAAGGTGGGTATTCCGTTCTGCTACCTGTATGATTTCCGCCTTTAGTGTAGATACGACTTCCTGATATTTTTTTATTTCATCGGAGTGTTCTCTTTCATAGTTCAGAATATCATCCTCAAAAACCTGTGAGTTCCTTCGGAGTCTGCCTATATATTTATCCTTTTCATGGATCTCTTCGGTTTTTTATCTCTTCTTGAAGTTGTTTTTCCCTTTCTTGAGCATCCGTTTCGAGACATTGACATT